CCGCCGAGACGTGGAGCGGGGGCCCCCTCGGGATCTGGGCCACCGGCATGCCGGCCCGGGAGTGGGGGCGGGCAGCACGGGGCTTGGGGGTCAGGAGGCGACCCTGCTCCCACGAGAGCCCCAGACAGGGCCGGGATGTCTTGACCCCATCAGCCTGAGATGTCCGGGTCGTCTGGGGCTCTGTCACCCCAGGGACATGGATGTTGGGATTTCCTCAGGACTCGTTAGTCCCCGGACATAGGGGTCACCTACCAGCCCCCGAATGTGGGATCAGGGTCCTCTTGGCCTTGTCAGCCCCCTGAACAGGTGTCTCAGAGTTCGCCGGGCTTTTGCCAGCCGTGAGCCACCCCTTCCCAGCCCACTCTTATCAGCTCTCCACCCCCCACGGCAACTTTCAGCGGCCCCTCCTATGGCCCCTTATTCACCCCAGTGGGTGACCCCTCCGTGTGGCCCAGGGGCTTCCTTGCACTATGACATCTGTGCCAGGCCAGATCTCTCGTCCTCTATACCTCGGCCGCTGGTCCCTGCTGGTCCTCCAAACTTCCCTACTGCCCCCTGCGCCCACTGTCCTGAGCTCCCCGCCCCTGGGCCGGTCATGTCCCAGGTTGCCATTGTTCCTCCGCCCTGATTTCATCTCCAGGAACCTCTCAGCCCACCCCAGAGCAGTGTCCACCCCTGAGCTCTGCCCATTCTGTCCATGCCCGCTGCCCACATAGTCAGCCCGCGCCCCCCCCCAGCAGCCAGCCTCCCCTTCCCTTCTCCCAGAAGCGGAGCTGCAGCTCCAGTCCCCCTGAGCACTGGCCCCCGGCGACCCCGCCTGCTTGGCCCCTGCCTCCGGACCCTGGGGTCGCCCTACCACAGCCCTCACCCTGAGGAGTGACTCGTTCCTGGGCCCAGTGGCCTGGACCGGCTACTTGTCACGGTGCCTTCTCAGAGGCCAGGTTGGCCTTTCACCTGCAGGACAGAGCTGCAGGGTGGGCCAGTGCCCTCGGAGGCAGGCCCTCGGAGGTGTGCGGGGAGGGCTGAGCGCCGAGCCCTGCACGGGTGCCCGGCGGTGCCCTGCACAAGTGGGCCAAGGCCTCCAGACAGCCCCCGCCCCCTGGGGTCCAAAGGTGGCCCCTGGTACAGGAGGCCCTCGTGGCTGCACTGGCAGCAGGGCTCCAGCCCCCCGCCCTCAGGCAGGCGAGGGCAGGGAGGGCCTTTTGGAGGGAGGGTTGAGTCCAGAGGTCCCTGTGGGTATGTTTGCGCTCGGCCCACTGACCCGTGGTCTCAGTCGTGCCCGTGACTCCTGGACGGACCACGTGTCGTTTGAGGCCGTCTGCTCAGCAGCTGGTTTGGGCGCCCCTGTTGTGGCCCAGACCCTATGTAGGAGACAGCAGCCTGCCCGGCCAGCCTGGCTGGTGGGAGGGGCTGCTGACCCCAGGAGGACCCTGGGACTGGCCCGGGTGTGGTGGTGTGAGTCAGGGTGCCCTGGGTCTCCCCACACCCAGCTGCACCCAGCATAGCCCGTGTTCCTCCACCCCTTGCCTGGCCTGTGCAGTGAGCCTCTTTCTCCTCCTTGACCTTCATGTCCTCGTTCAGATGTCCTTCCTGCCCTCAGGGCTGCACCTGTGCAGAATCTGACCATCCTCGGGCTCTACTGCTGAGCTCAGGGCCCTGCCTTATGCCTGAGGGTCACTCCCCTCCCCTGACAGGTGGCTGGCCCAGGGCCGACCCCCAGGTTGGGGACTGTCCATTCCTCTCTGTGCTCCCAGGTCTAAGCCCACAGACTCGCTGCTGAGTGCAGGAGGCGTGGCCAGCCTAGCAAGGGCGGCCGCTGGCTTTAGACTTCGAGGGTCTCTTGTATGCTAGGGCGCAGAGGGTTCTGAGGTTCACTTCCTGCAGGCTGTGTCGTGAGCACAGTGGTTCGACCCAGGCTCTGGGAACAGACCTGGCTGCAATCCCAGCTCCGTCAGAGTAGTTGAGTGGCCTTGAGCAGGTGGCACAGTCTCTGAGCCTCTGGTTGCTCCTCTGTGAAATAGGTTTGCGTTCACCTCTACCTGTCGTGAGGTCCATTGACTCTTCGGGGCTCAGCGAGGGTGGCAGTGGCCAGGGCCAGCCAAGCAAAGACCTGCCACACCCAGGTGGCCCAGGGAGGGTCAGGGTGCATCATCCATGGGGACTTTGTGCGCCACGGTCAGCGCGGTCTCTAAAGCTCGTGAGCGAGTCATCAGGACCCTGATTTTACCTTTGGAACTTCTAGCGCGGTGTTTGTTTTCATTTCGTTGCTGTTCACTTAACACACAAGCAGGTGGGGTTCTGGGCTTCTCCAGCTGGGTCGGAAACAGGCTTTCAGGAGCTCCCCTGGCCCTCAGGCCTCCGCATCCTCCTCCACGACACACCGCACATCGGTGCCCCTCAGGGACTGGGGCTGCAGCACAAAGCCCTGCACGGGCGCTGACTGCAGCAGCCGGCTTCGCTCTCTGGTCCAAAAGGTCACGCCCAGCTCGTGAAGTTGTGACGATGGAGTCTGTGTAGGAAGCACTTACAGGGAAGGGAAGACAAGGAGGCCAGACGGAGATGTGTGAGACCAACAGGGAGTGGCCTTTAAGCTGGTGACATGGACAGCACCTTCCCTGCAGTAACCGGGAGTTAACGGGGAGGGGCGGGCCGGGGAGCAGCTGCTGGCCTCACTCAGCAAATGAGGTCCCAGTGCAGAGCCGGCACGCGCCCCTGGGAAATCACCTGAGGAAATGAGCCCACGAAAGCCACCTGGGGCCGCTGAGCCCAGCCTCAGGGCGGCGGGGCAGACTCCTCCAGGGGCCCCCTTCTCCCTGCTTTCCTTTCCCCGCAGAGCCCTGTGCACCCACCTCCAGCCTGGCACCCTCTGGGAGCAGGGCCTGCCCCGTCGCGCATCACAGGGTCAGCCCTCACCCGGCCTCAGGGTGCTGTGTCTGCCCGACAGAACCCTCTTGCTGCCCGCTGAGGGGGCAGCACGCTGGCCTGCAGAGGCTCCCTCTCCTGCGCCCTACCCCTCATTCTGGCCAGTCCTTGGGCTGCCGCTCTAGCCTGGGCCCCTTTACCTGACCCTCTCATCCTGCACGTCTCCCGACCCCCCTGAGGCCCTGCGCCATCTTTACAGAAGGCGAGTCGCTTCCCAGCGCTGCTCCCTCGAGTTCCTGGAAGACGCGGCGGGATGCACCTCGGTTCAGCGGTGAGTGTCCCCCTACTCCCCTCTCAGAGCTCCGCAGCCACTCACGCTGGGGCCACAGAGGGTCCAGCAGGGACAAGTGACCTGTTTCTCACCTGCAGAACCAAGCACATATCCGGGTCGCCCAGGCACAAGGGCCTGAAGAAGACCCACTTCATCAAGAACATGCGGCAGTATGACACCAAGAACAGCAGGTACCGGCGTGGCCACCAACATGAGGCTGCCGGCCGTGTCCTCCCTCCGACCTGGCGGGGGCCCGCGTCCTGCCCCGGGCCACAGGGAGGGCGGTGCCCAGCCCATGGCTCATCCGTGGCCCTTTACAAGTGGGCCCCCCTCCACATTAAACAAGTGTCCACTGCCCCGGCCTGCCCCGGAACCCTAGGCACACCAGCCTGCAGTAGGAGTGCCAAATGAAGGGACCCCGAGAACGGGCGGGCACAGCGCGGACCGTGTCCGGGAGAGGAGGGCTGGGTTTCGTTTGGGAAGCACAGAGGGGGTTGGGCTAAATCCCAGATGCGGCTGCCCCACCCCGGGGCGCACTGGCAGCAGGTGGCCAGGCACGGCCCTCGAGCTCAGTGTCTGCAGACGGCGGGTGGGGGCCGTTCCTGTCACCTGTTCCTCACAGCACACTCTGCCAGCCCTGAGGTGTCTGAGCTCGTCACCCTGCTCCACAGGGTCTCCATACTGTTCCCCTTTCCACCGAGGCCACACTCCAGGCACCTGCCCTTCCCAGCGGTGACTGTAGGTTGGATAGTCCCGGATCCCCCGGCACGAGGAGCAGGTTCTGGGCTGGCCTCAGTGGGCACCAAGTGCCCAGTCATCCCAGCCAGAAAAGGCGGGGAGTCTCCACTGTTGTCCCCGCTGCCGGGCCGGGCCAGGCCAGGCAGAGCTGGTCGCAGAGGGGAAGGGCTCCCCTCCCTGCTGCGTGCGCCCACGCAGGGCCACCTCGTAGGTGTCTGGCTCAGGTCATAGGGGTGCGTTTTGACACTCTCGGGCCCCTGCTCCCAACGGCTGAGGTGCTCCCTGAACCACACAGTCCCCTGGGCACACGCCGCTGCCTGTGTCCTCTGAAGCCTGGCCTTTCCTGGGTGAGGCGGTCCCACTTCTGGGCCTCCTCTGCCACATGGGGCCAGGTGAGGCCCTCCCTGTGTAGCTCGCTACATGGAGGGGACCAGCAAGTGCCCTGGACACCTGGGGTAGTTCTTGTCATTGAAGTCTAGGTGGGAAGGAACCCCCCCAAGAGCCCCCGCCGCCTGTTCTGAACCTGCCACCCACCCCACCCCCCCAGGATTGTGCTGATCTGCGCCAAGCGGTCCCTGTGTGCGGCCTTCTCGGTCCTGCCCTATGGAGAAGGCCTGCGGGTCAGGTGAGTGGCCCGGGGACGCATGGGCTGTGCTCTGCAGCGTCGCGTGGCGGTGAGCATATTGGCTTTCACCGAATCTTCTCGGAGCCCCGAAGGCCATTTTCTGGTTCTGTGGGAGGGGGTGTGCCCATCCTTTTGTTTGAGCTGCCTAAATGTCGGTCCTGGGACATTCCTTCTCACGGAGACCCTGCCATGAGTCCTCGTGACCGGTCCTGGCAGCTGTGTCCTGCAGGTGGCTGTTAGGGTGGGGATGGCACCGTATGACCTGATAGAAAAACAGCCAGTCGTGGGGAAGCCTCCTGCCCCGTGTGGCTGCGGGGGCGGGGCACACCCGTCGAGCGCAGACCGGGGTGGAGCTGCGGCCGGGGCTGTGCCGCTCACTGCCAGCCAGCCTTTTAACAGGAAGTGCCTGGGACTGCACAGCTCTTAGGACAGGAGTCCTTCCCCGTGTCCCTGGCAGTGCTAGCGCCACTGCCCTTCTGAGGGGGCCAGCTGCAGCTCGTGCCCGGGTGGGCATCATGGGTGCAGAGATGGGCAACCTGCCACCCGAGGCTCCGCTCCCCCGCCTGCTGGAGGGACAGAGGGGGCCCAGCAGCTCTCCTGTCCTGTGCACTGCAGTGACCTGAGGGTGGACAGCCAGAAGCAGAGGCATCCGTCCGGTGGCGTGTCCGTTTCTTCCGAGATGGTGTTTGAGTTGGAAGGCGTCGAGCTGGGAGCAGACGGAAAGGCAAGAGCCGATGCGGGTCCACGCGTGGGCGGGCGCGGGGCTCACGTTTGTGGAGGACTCGCACCAAAGTCGCGTCTCGGTTTAGTCTCCTGAAACACAACGGGTCAGCCGCAAGCCGCACAGCCCTTAAGAGTGGCCCCGGCACCTCGCCCCGCAGCCAGGGATGAGGGCGCCCCCTCTGTGCTGCTGGTCGGGGGTCCGGGGCTTCAGAGGCAGGGAGAACCTTGTGCTGTAGGTGCTAGATAAGGGGTGGTGGGGCTGACATTCTGGAATGTTCTTATTGCTGAGAACAACATCGAGGGAGCGGCATCCAGCTCTGGGCTGCCCGGGAGCATTAGCCTTCGATGGCCTAAGCTGCCGCGTCCCTCCCTTGTCTGCATGGGGGGGGGCGTCCGTGTGGTGCTTCTTGCAGCAGAGAGGTGACAGCAGAGCCTGCTTTGACCTCTGCTCTCGGGAGGGCCCATGGGACCTGGAACGAGCAGGAGGAACCCTGATGCCCTTGCCCTTGCAGGTCGTCTCTTATGCCAAGTTCCTGTACCCCACCAACGCCTTGGTCGCGCTCAAGACAGACGGCCATGGCCCGCCACCCCAGCCCCGGCCCAGCGTCTCCCGGGCTCCGCCAGGGTCAAGACACAAACCGGCCACCGCCAAGTCAGCGCCAGCCGGCACAGAACTAGGTGCCCTACTGAGCCCAGGGCGTGAGACAGGTGGCCATGCCAGCCGGGCCGGGAACCCCAATTAGCAGCAGAGCAGTGGGTCTCATTCGAGCCCACAGTCCTCAGTCCAGA